CCTTGGCCGCGGAGCGCGGTCAAGCAGGAGCGACAGGGGCGGGCGTCAGAGGCTGAACCGAGCGGCGTCGCGTCCCACTCACCCCCTCACTTCTTCCCGGGTGAGCCGAAATCATATTACGAGTCGTCGTTATCATTGCCACCGTTCCTCTTCCACCCTCCTCCTGATAATTGCCACAAGTGGTTCAAGCTGAGATGCCAACAGGGCTGCGCCAACTGGTCGTTGGTAGATAAGTTAGCGGATGGATAATGTCGTCTGTGGCGGCATGAAAACACTTGACGTTGCAATGCAGGCGCCAGGGGGAGCGAACCACGTCTTGGCGGACAGCAACAAGCAACTGTCAACTAAGAAATTTCCTGTTGTCACTGAAAACCCAACCATCAAGTTTGATGCTCCAGTAATAACCGAAGTTGGCGATTTGCCGATATACCCATTCCCGCGCACGGATGTTAGTCAGAGGAAAAGGCGGGCACTTGGTTGCGCTCTTGAATGGGGCGGGAAGTTCGCAGGCATTGGTAAAGCGATCATAGAAAGAATATGGCAAATGATTTCCACTGCGATACAGAATGCGCCGACGAATGGGGCGGCAATTGCAGCGATCACGCGAGAGGGCAGATAGCAAAAGAGATGGAAGAGGGCAGCTACAAACATTGACCATGTCATTTCGGCCCGTCGAGCTCTTGGCAAGTGGCGCCGGCGATGCGACTAGCGACTGTGCCCGCCAGCAATAAGTGGCACGCGATGAGACGCCTCATGTTCGACGGGTTACAATAACTCGCGAAGTTCAGGAAGAGCTCGCGCGCGGCTCTGCGCGCTGCAATTCTCGGCGGCCGCGAAACCCGAAGGGAACAGGCAAACTATCACACTCTATCGTTGAAGGTCTTGGTGGTTTCCGAGATCGCCACGGCGCATGGGCGGGCGACGGCGACGAAAAAAATCAAGTCGATCTCAGCATGATATCGGATAGATATCCATTTCATGCACAATGTGAGGCCGTCTTCAAGCAACGGGGGCTAATTCGCAGAACGGGTAGGCGCGTGGACAAAGGAAGCAGACAGTCCAATCTCTTAGCGGCCAGAATCAAAATGCAGATCGTTTTCGAGCGCCGTGCGAGAGGTGCGTCTACTGCTCAGAATGAATCAGAGGACGAGCGCTGCAGCGTTGCTGGTGAGAGATGGTCCAGGCTGCACAATCAAAGGGCGCCAAAGAAGATCCAACCACTATGATCCCGCCACCGCAGATGGACGCGATCAAAGGCGGTTGGGTAGTTGCTGGAAAGAATGCGGTAGACCGGGATTTCAATGATAGCGTAACACGTTCAATCAATGAGAAGGGTTGGGGATAGTTACCGATGCGATTGCCAATTGAAAGGGTTGTTCTTCATGCAAATGCCGTTGGCTATGTGGCGCGCGCAGTCGACAGCGGACTGCTTTCCGCCGCAGTGAACAGAAAGCTATCTGTTAACGCGGTGGACCACGTCACTTTACATTGCGCAATCAGCGAAAGATCTCTGCGAAACTGGCCGTCGCGCAAGTGCGCCGATCCGCGCATTGGCCGCGTGGAGAACATCAACTCAGCAATGCGAGCCTTCGCCGTGGGCGGCCGATCCACCTCTCAGATAGGCGGCGCACCTTCTAAAATATTCAGGAATGAGTTCAAACATTGCGCTGCTCTCGGCTCAAACGGTCTCTCTGGGCGCACTGACATCCCAGCGCACAGAGACATGCGATTCGCGAGGACAAGCGCCGCCCTGACTGGCGCAAGTCTGGCGGAGGAGCTGCGGCGCGCAAAGTGGGCGCATTGGGCGGCGGGCCGCGAATGGGATGCAGCTCGCTTCGGTGAAGAGCGTGTTAACAGCAATGGTCGACTATAATGAGGATGTTTGTGAGTTGCGCCCATGTACTTTGGTGGTTCTTCTGGCTCCAGACGGCAGCGCGCTGCGATTCCAATATGGCTGCTGGCCATCGCGCTACCTTTCTTTGCCCATGCCTTGATTCTCGCCCTAGGTTCCAAGCTGGCTGCTTGCCGGACCTCCCAAGGCACTGCTAGCGACTGCGCTCTTCGCGCCCCTGCAGTGGAAGAAAATCGTTCCCCTCATGCGTTCGCAAGAACGCGCGGGAGATGATGAAGACTGGCTGAAATGACGTTGACGGGGGGAGTATGATAACATGCCCCCTTTCAACATGAAGCTTTCTAGGTTTGGGTGCCATCCCCGCCGTCTCCGCGGCACTCGCAAGCCCTGCGGCGAACGCAGGAGCTGCCGTCGCTGCAGCACATATAGGAAGATGAGGTCGCGAAGGGGAGAAATAACAACAAACAAAACCTACGACGATAAAACCAGAATATCGAAGGTCATGTTCCCTTCAACCTGAAGATGTTCGAGCCTAGTGGGTGTCTGCGCCGTCTTCGCGACGCCCATGGGCAATGTGGCGCGGGCGGGCATTGCGGCGCTTGTAAGAAAAAGAGTCAATTTGTACTCGGAACAAAAAAACATCCTACAGCATTCGGCCTTGCTAAGAATCCTGTTGTACTCCACCACATGCAGAATCGCGGTACATGCCGCCATAGAACGAAATCTCTTGCATTCGGGTTCAAATTGAATCCCACTGCGCTATGCCACACGACGAGTTCGATTGCATCGCGGTGCAAAAAGGATCTCTTTCGCCCTAAAAGCGAATCTAGCGCATTCAGCTTCAACAGAAATCCGATGGTCTTGCGCAGCACAAGGGATCCTACTGCACTCTGCCTGGATAAGAACCCCATTGTAATCCTCTGCAAACAAAATCGCGTTATGTGCCACTACAAAAAGACTTGTATTGCTTTCGAAGCTAAAAGGAATCCTAGTGTGTGTACGCCACACACTGAATTCTATTTTACCCGACCACGACATATTTGTTTAAAGTCCACCACCACCCGAATCCTATTGGCATTGATACAATCAGCTAGAAACCCTGCGCAGACACAGTTAGCACACAACTTTTCAATACAAGCATAAAAAAAGCCTGTGCGGGCACAGTTGGCACACATGCTTCTTATTGCTAATGTTGTTTTCGCATGGCCAGGCACAGTTATAACAGATGTTTTAAAGATGCTCCATCTATGGATATGATTCCAACTTCCCACAGGTGGCAAATCATGAAAAAATCTGTGTTCACTGTGCCAGGCCATACGAAAACAACATGTTCAACACCATATGAGCCAACTGTGCCTGCGCAGGTTTTTTTTGCTGATTGTGTTGAGAAGCTCTGTGCTAACTGTGCCTGCGCAGATTTTCTTAACGGCTGCCCTTCTGATAATGAGTTTCGCCCGTGCCTGCACAAATCTGTACAAGGATTTGAGCAAGTTTTAGCTCGGACAGAAAGAACGTTCCCATATATGGAACATCGCGAACTGTGCCTGCGCAGGCTTTCCTTAAAGCTTGGATTGACAAGTTATGTGCTAACTGTGCCAGCGCATGGTTTCTAGAAGAATGCCTTTCTTTCAATAAGATTCCTCTTGCCGTATAATACATAAGGGTCCCTCTTGTTTCCGAATATAAGAGCTTCATCGCTGTGGCGGAACACAGAAGGACTGCGTCATAATGCGAAAACGATTTCCGCTGTGGCGAATACGGAGGGTGAGTTTGCAAATTATACGGAAATCCAGAAAGGGAAGGTGTCATAATAACCAACAGGTTCTGTTAGGCCCCTCTATGATTATTACTGTCTTTGCTACTTGTATTTCTATCTATAATACTACTCCTACTACTACCACCTCTGCCACGACTACTACCACGACTACTACTAGTACCACTACTCGTACGACCACTACGACTGCAAGTACCACTCCTAGAACGATTACCATGACCACTAGTGTTACTACTACTACTACTACTACTACTACTACTACTACTACTACTACCTACTACCACTACTACTACTACTACTACTACTACTACTGCTACTACTACTAGTACTATTACTACTACTACTACTACTACTACTACTATTACGACTACTATTACTACTACTACTACTACTACTACTACTACTACTACTACTACTAGTACTACTACTACTACTACTACTACTAGTACTACTACTACTATTACTACTACTACTACTACTAATACTATTACTACGACTACTACTTCTACTACTTCTACTACTACTACTACTACTACTACTACTACTACTACCAACACTACGGCTACTACTACTACTACTACTACTACTACTACTACGACTACTACGACTACTACTACAAACAATAAGCATACAAAGTACTAGTACTAGTGCTAGTACTAGTACTCCTACTACTCCTGCTACTACTACTACTACTACTGCCAGCACTACTGCAACTACGACTACGACTACTACTACTACTACTACTACTACTACTACTACTACTACTACTACTACTGCTACTAATACTACTACTACTACGACTATTAGTACTACTACGACTACTACCACTACTACTACTACTACTACTACTACTACTACTACTACTACTACTACTACTACCACTACTACTACTACTACTACTAGTACAACTACTACTGCTGCTGCTGCTGCTGCTGCTGCTGCGACTACGACTACGACTACGACTGCGACTACGACTACGACTACGACTACGACTACGACTACGACTACTACTTCTACTACTACTACTAATACTACTACTACTACTACTACTACAACTACTACTACTACGGCTACTACTACTACTACTACTACGACGACGCCGGCTACTACTATGACTACTAATCCCACTACTACTACGACTGGCACTACGACTACTACTTCTACTACTACTACTACTACCACTACTACTACTACTACTACTACTACTACTACGACTACGGCTTCTACGACTACGACGATTACTACTACGACTAGTACTACTACTACTACTACTACTACTACTACTACTACTACTACTACGACTACTACTACTACTACTACTACTACTACTACTACTACTACTACTACTACTACTACTACTACTACTACTACTACTACTACTACTACTACTACTACTACTACTACTACTACTACTACTACTACTACTACTACTACTACTACTACTACTACTACTACTACTACTACTACTACTACTACTACTACTACTACTACTACTACTACTACTACTACTACTACTACTACTACTACTACTACTACTACTACTACTACTACTACTACTACTACTACGACACTAGTAGTAGTAGTACTACTACTACGACTACTATTACCACTAGTAGTAGTAGTAGTACTACTACTACTACTACTACTGCTACTGCTACTGCTACTGCTACAACGGCTGCTACTAGTACGACTACTACTACTACTACTACTACTACTACTACTACTACTACTACTACTACTACTACTACTACCGCTGCTACTACTGCTGCTACTACTACTCTTACGACTACCACGACTGCGGCTACGACTGCGACTACTGATCCTACTACGATTACGACGACTACTACTACGACTACTACTACGACTACGACTACGACTACGACTACTACGACTACTGCTACCATGGCGACTACTGCTACTACTACTACTGCTACAAATACTACGACGACAGCGACTACGACCACTACGATGACTAAGGCTACTACGACTACTACTACGACTACTCTCCTACGACTACTTATACTACCACTACTACCACGACGACGACGACTACTACTACTACTACTACTACTACTACTACTACTAGTAATACTACTCCTATAACTACTGTTACGACTACTACTACGCCGGCTACCACTACTACTACTACTACTACTACTACTACTACTACTACTAACACTACTACTACGACTACCACTACTACTACTACTACTACTACTACTACTACTACTACGACTACTGCTACTGCTACTGCTACTGCTACTGCTGCTTGCTGCGACTACTACTACTACTACTACTACTACTACTACTACTACTACTACTACTACTACTACTACTACTACTACTACTACTACTACTACTACTACTACTACTACTACTACTACTACTACTACTACTACTACTACTACTACTACTACTACTACTACTACTACTACTACTACTACTACTACTACCACTAGTACTACCCCTATCACTAGTACTACCCCTACTACTAATCATGATACGACTACGAGTATTACTACTACTACTACTACTACTACTACTACTACTACCACTACCACTACTACTACTACTACTACTACTACTACTACTACTACTACTACTACTACTACTACTACTACTACTACGGTTACTACTACGACTACTGCTACTACTGCCCCACTACTTCTATTACTACTACTACTACTACTGCTGCTACTGCTGCTACTACTACTACTACTACTACTACTGCTACTACTACTACTACGGGCGGCCGAGTCATACAACCACTACTCGCCATGCTTCAACAAGAACATCACACATGCACAGGGCCAATCGTGCTTACTGTGTTTCGCTTTCGTGAATGAGCTTTCCACCCCAAGCAGACGAAACCCATCTCCAACTCAAGGGGAAGGCCCGCATTCGAACTCGCTGTTCGCATTTATTTCCGAAGCCAGCAGGAGAAAGGATAAAAGAGAACAACGGCAGGGGCAGGAACCCATGACAACAGCAGTTGGTTGGGATGAAATCGAACAACAGGCGAAATGCTCCCACGGTTCTCGACCAACATCAACACAGTGTTTTACCGCAGCCGCTTGGGGCCAAGCGGCGGCCGAGGCTGCCGAAGGTCGGCCTACTCGGTCAAGGACAGAAGAGGGACGAAGGCGGAAGGGAGGAAGACAGCAGCGAAACATTCGCCCATGCAGATAAGATGGGGAAGGGGAGCGGGCGGGGACGGCGTCATGGAGGAAGAGGCAAGTGGGACTCCCCCCATCGCAGCGCCGCGCCTCAAAGCCTGCCCCTGTAGTCCTGAAGCGGCCTGCTCCGTCGAGCCAGGCCGAACTCCGAGTCGGCGCCGTCGCAGCCAAGCCGACCCATGGAATTTCAACACACGGACCCTTGAGTGGTGCCAGTTCTGCCCCTCGAGTGCTGCCTTCTGTCCTACCCACCTTGGGGAGGACAGACAGCGCAAGAATGAAGACAACGATCGTTTTCATGTTGCGCCCCTGATTCGCACGATCAAATTATTGGCAGTGGGCCTCACCTTCCTCTAGAAGAGTAGGAGGAAGAAGATGAGGAAGCGGAGGAGAAGTAGGAGGAGGAGCAGGAGGAGGAGGAGCAGGAGGAGGAGGAGGAGCAGGAGGAGGAGGAGAAGGGGGCAAAGAGGGGGGCACACAGGATGGCAAAACGACTGCGAAGAGAGGCAAAGGTAAGAAAGGGACATCCCACGAATGCCCGGTTGTCCAAACCGCCGCTCCTCTTTGAGTATCCGCAGCTGCCACCACAACCGCTTGTAGCCAATCACGTTCCTGCTCGGCGGGAAGATACAGGGGGGCGACGCAAGAGAGAGGAACGAGGGCCGAGAGAGCAGCGACCGAAAACGGAGGCGGGTGGAACGAAGATAGAGGAAGCAGGACAGAGGATGGAGGCCAAACCTGCTAGGACGAAGGGGGTAAAGGAAGGGGCAAAGGGAGAAAAAAAATAGGGAAAAGGGGGGGGGGAGAGAAGGAGTGAGACAACCCTGAGAATCCACGAACCCCCTGCGGAAACTTCATGATGCGAGCCCCCGCGAGGGATTCCCGCGCCATGGAGGAGGAGGAGGAGGGGGAGGAGGAGGCGGAGAAGAAGAAAAAGAAACGGGAGAAGGAGTGAACTCGCATGGGGGGGGTTAGTGAGCGAGCCGACCCGACCTCGGTTGCTGCTCCGGACGGCTGGCCTTGTGGGGCCCGACATCACCAACAAGGAGAACGACCAGAGCGCGGCCGCGCCTTCACGGGGCGGGGTCGCGCATCGCCCGGCCGAGCGAACGAGAATGGGCTTCGTGCCTCCTGGCAGGCTGCTGGATCCGGGCGCGCCCGCACTCAATGAACAGATTTCTCGCGCAAGACCTGCGCCGCAAATGATGGCACGCAACATGGACAAGTACAAAATATAGGGCAATGCTGACAAGGGCAGATGCGGGCATTAGACATTAGAGAAAGCTTGAACAAAAAGGCTGTGTCCTCAGCATGGCCACTGCGCGCGGAGGCGGAGGTGGGGTCGAGGAAGGCGAAGACCGAACCCAAGAAAACAGGGGCAAGCGGTGACGTGGCGCAGTGCATCACCGCACCCGTGCCCAAGCAACGCAGGGGGTCGCAACACCCTTGAACCTGCCGCTGCAGGTCCAACAAGTACACGGGACATTCCGCAGAAAATATAGAAAACAACATGTGCCCTGTCGGCAATCCTCCAGACATCAACTTGAGATGGGGCTTATCCGCGGTAGACAATTCGGGGCTCACTTTGCTCGCTCTGGACGCGATCGTCGCGCGCAGGGGGTTCTCATACACCTTGGCCAAGTGTTTGTCCATCTGGGCCAGAATCCAGGGAATGAATCTGGGAGCTCGGGGAACGGCGCGAAGCGAACGGTAGGTGTCACAATATCTGCATGACCCCTTTTGTCACGCAGGGTGCTTCTTCCATAGGACGCAGCAGTCGTCAGAGCCACTGCCTTGAAATAGGAGCTCCTCATCCTCTCAGAATGCAGAGGTTATCTCAGCAAGTCGAAAACGTGCAGCCTGACTTCGGATCCTTGCGCTCGCGGCGTGAACAGGGAAACCGAAGGGACTGGAATTCTGGGGGTGCTCCGAGGAGATGGCATTGAATGAGGGCCCTGCAGCTCACTTGGATCATCTCCCTCTCCTCTTTGACAACCGGTAAACATGGAGGATGCGTTCGGCCATCAAAGATCACACAGAAACGCACAACGCGTTGTAGTCACATATGGTCAGCCCGAGGTCCACCCCCTGCACCACGCGCGAGCGGGATGACCTTATTCCGAGGGAACTTCCAGCTCCTCCGTGTCCGCCGACGCCGAGAATGACGCCTAGATGCTTGGTGCTCCTGGACACCTGGAGCCCGCCGGCAAACCTGGGGCCCGCTGAAATCCCCCCCCATAAGATACCGCCCCTGGAAAGCCGCGGCAGTCTCCTGAACGCGAATGCGCATTCCAAAGGCGGCCCCAGCAAAAGCCCACATGTTGATGGTGGCGGGGCGAGCAGAGCTCACGTCAATGCTCTCGAGCCCGCAGTCGTCGGCGAAGGCGCCGATCTCGTAAAGCGACCCGAGCAACTAGCTGACCAGCGCGCGATTGATCGGGCCGTGCGCCTGAGAAAACAGTGACCCAGTCATCAGGCACCCTGGTTTGATGCATCTGTTCGGGAAAGCCGCGCACGCGATTGCCTCGGAAGGAGACCACGATGAAAACCTGATCGCGCATTGATTCGATGGGCGCCAAGAATCTCCCTGGGAACTTCGCATGGGCAAACGTCTAGGCTCACAACTTTGACATGTCCACTTACTTATGCTGGGCCACTCGGCGAAAACATCTAGGTTCCAAGTCGATAACGTTGCCGAGAATGCCGACACTAAAAAACCGCGTCGCTGGCGACGCGCGACTGGTTCGCGCGCGTATCCGAAGGGCGAGTTGCGAGCAGCGGCGATTATTCGCTTGCGAATGTTCGGGTGCAAATTGCGCCGAGTCTTTTCTGGCTTCCGCGCCGCAATATTCGAGCACTCAGCGCGCTCGCCCATCGAGGAAGACAGACGTCGCGTCGCTGAATGTTTTTTTTGTTTGGGGGGGGCATCCTGGAGCAAGCGAAAATTGAAGGAGCGGGGCGCGCTTTCGGCAGCCGGGCCAGCCCTCGACCAGCTGGGGCGCCGCCTGGGCCGGGCGCGCCGCCGGGGGCGCGTTCCATCGCGCGCGCGGAGACGTCTTGATTCAATGCCCAGAGAGTGCCCGAGAAGGCCTTCTCGGGAGTCTTCGGCGGCAGAACGCGCCCCCTCCCGCCCCCCCCCCCCCCCAGCCCCGCCCCGAAGCGCCCAGCGAGCCCACGGCGCGTCGCGCTATCGTCAGACGGAGTCGCGCCAGGGTTGGCCAGGCGTTCTCGCGCGCGCGCTTCTTCGTCGCCCAGGCGTTCTCGCGCGCGCGGCGAGTTTGTCTGACCCTTGTCCGTTGATATCTGGCGTTCTCGCGCTGCCCCCCCCTCCTGGCCCTGAACAGTGCCCTGCGGCCTCGATGGGAAAACGTGAGATCGTTCGCGGCGAGCGAGAAACGAAGAAGAAGAAGTCGGCCAGCGCGGCGCACGCGCCTCGGGGCCGCGAAGAGGGGCCGCCCGCCGCCGCCCCCGACCGCGCGCGGGGCCCCCGTGGCCCAAGGCCGGAGGGTTGCAAAAGTTTGTTCGGGGGGGGCCAGGAAGGGCCCCCCTGGGGGCTTCGCACCCCCTGTTCTGGCAAAGTTCCGAGGCCCCAGGGGGGCTCTCCGGAAAACCCTCTGTCCCAAAAAAACCCTTTGGACACCTCCCGCAAGATGCCCACTCCCAGCCTCAGAAACAGCGCCCGGGACCCCGAGCCCCCGATTGAGAGCCCCAGCAGCAGCAGCAGCAGCAGCAGCAGCAACGCAACCCCTGCCTTCTTCGACGGCCCCCAAAGAGTTTGCAAAGTTTTCAGAGCGGTCGCCAAGACGCCCCCCCTCAGAAGTAGCGCCCAGGATCCCGAGCTCCCGATTGAAAGCCCCAGCAGCTGCGACAGCGCAACCCCCGCCTTCTCCGACGGCCCCCAAGAGAGTTCTCTCGGAGTGGGGACGCCGGGGCCAGCCTCCTCGACCTTCGCTTCGACCCTCGGGCGCTCGGCGACTCCGCTGGGCGATCCTGCGGGGGCCTCTCATAAACGGTTGGAGCGATGGGATGACGGGCGCGCGGCCCGAATGCCCCTCGAGGTTTGCAAGGGCGCCAGGGGCCCAGGAGGTAAAGTTGAAGTCGCGCAGGCCACAGCGGGGGCGCTCGCGCAGACGCGGTCGAGCCTCGATAATCACTCGACGAGCTCACGATCCATGTCTCCCCAATCTTCTACGCGGCGCGCGAAATTGGTTTGGTCCACCTTTGCCTGCCGAGCGAATAGCGCGTCGAACTCCCCAGCAGTAGCTGTCCAAACGCATAAAATAGCCCGTCGGAGAGATCAGATCCCTCGGCCCGAGCATTGGAACTGACACCGCCGAGCACATAGGACGCGGCGCTCCGACGGAGCTGGCCTTGCTCTTTGGCGGGGTGATGCGACTGCTAGAGATGAACACTGGCGACTTGCACGCAGCGCGCGCAGTCGCACAAAGAGGAGACGGCGACTGCGGCGCGACACGCCTGGGCGAACAGCTCTTGGAGCAGAGGATGGGCAAAGATGGTGCGACCTCCAGAGGCAATGCTTTCGGTGGCAACGTCCACTCCGAAGGCGCGATGCACTCCTTCGGCAAAGTGCTCGAGGTGCTGCGGGGGGGGGGGGGGGGCCGGCCTCTCGGACGCGCGCGACGCCGCGGTTGGCGAGCAGTTCCATGCTCCCGTCATGCTTCTGTCCGCGACAAGCCTGGGGCGCGCAAGTGGCGTGAATAGGGGGCGAGCGTTCCGCGGCTGCTCGGGCAGACACGGAGCGCGCCCGACCGCGCCAGCTCACCCGCCCGACCCAAACGCAGGACCTACAGGCGCCCACCCCGAAGGGTGGAACTTCCGGAGCGCGCCGAAGAAACCAGGGGGCCAGGTTTCAACGGAAGTTTAAAAAAGACATCCCTGGCGAGGGGCCGGGGCACGAGGACTGCCCCCGTCTCGATTTCGGACGAGGAATGGCCTCTCAGCCGCGGGGGCGCCCCCCGGGCGCAACCGCGAGGGGGGAAGCGCGAGAACCCAGATCGTGCGTGGAAAACAAGCTTACCCTCCAGAAGAAGCGGTGCTAAAATTGCGCTGGCGCGCCATGGCTGCGCCCCGGTCTGAAGGGCGCATGGCCACCCGTGGCGCGGCGCGCGCAGAAGAAGGAAAGAAATCCACGCGCTGCCAGGGGCCCGGGAGCCAACGGGTCGCCGCGAGCAGGGCCCACCCCGCGGAAGGGAGAAAACGCGTCTAGCCGAAGGGCTGGGGGTGCCCAGGCATGAGTCGGGAAGGCCATCGCATCGGGCCTAGCGTCTCCGGAGCCAGCAGAGTCTGGCGAGGAGGAAGAGGGCGCGGGAGAACAGCTCGAGGGCGAGGAAGGGCCGGGGGAGCTGGAAGCAAGGCCAGCGCAGGACGCGGAGAAACCAGGCGAAAGCGAATCCGAATCAGAGTCAGCATCTCTCGAGAGCCCTTTTCGGATGGCGCTAGGCGAGGGCAGACGACGCCGGGCGGGGCGAAGCAGCGGCAGAGGCAGCACCCATATGCTCGCAGCCGCTCCAGAGGGGGCGGGCGAGTCGGCACCAGCGATCTCGCGCAGCACCCCGCATGGAACTACACGGCGAGGGCCAAATGGACCCTGGGAGGGAGGCCCCCATGGAGGCGCGATGGTGGAGCTGATTGCGTCGGCCTCTCGCGGGAGATGCCGAGGGCGAGGAGGTCATCATAGTTGGCTTCGCCCTCAAACTGATTTTGCTGAAGCTCTGTGGCGCGGTAGAGCACAACGCAGTCGTCGTTCTCGACCAGGAAGGGCATGCCTTTGCAGCCATCGCTGCCGAGCTTCGTAGATGAACGCCACAGGCCCTGATCCCTCAGGTACTCGGCGGACCTGGCTGCACATCATGCTAAACGCCTTGCTACGACGCCTTACTTCCGACGGTGCATCACGACGAACGTAATGCAAAGTCGTTGAGATGCTTCGGGTCTGTCCAGGAGAGGCTCCGCTCCTTCACAATGCCGACGAACTCTCGCGCGTGCATCTGGTCGGCAACTTCGCTACAAAAGGACGTACTCATGTTGTGAACCTTGACTGGGAAGGTGGTGGCGGTCATGACCAAGCCTCGTAGCTTGAGCGTCTCTGATACTGCAACCATTATTTGGCAAGTGCTGGGCTTGGGCAGCCACCGATGCAAATGCAACAAAAGTTGAAACCGGCCTCGTCGTCAACATGGATAGCCCTTGGACCTGCTCCAGCCGAAATACGAAAACGTTGGAATACGAGCCAGTTAAGTGACAATCAACAAATGTAGCTCGGAGATGGCATCGTGCTGGGAGAGGTTCGCGAACGCCTCGTCCGTGGCTTTTGGTGTGGAGAACGAGTCCTGAAGATGCACCAGCTCCTCGTCGTGCTCCACGAGGCACTCCTTCATTGCCTGCACGCTGGTCAGATTGATGCCGACTGTGCCGAGATCTGTGCAAGATCTGCTGAAAAGGGCAGTGGCATCTCCTATCGCGAAGAGACCGTCGCAGGAAAACTGCCGCGGCGGAGAACCGGTCGGTCTGAAACTCGGGCAGGGGCCCGCGATCCTGCCCCTTGGCTGCGATTAAGCTATAACCGCGGGGCGACGGTTACAACTTGAGCCAACATGGTTACGGAGGAGGAGGAGGAGGAGGAGGAGGAGGAGAAGCAAGATTAGTAGGAAGAGGGGGAGGAGGAAATTGAGTAGTAGTTCGGCAAGGGAAGGAAAAAGAGTCAAGCCAGTGGCAGAGAAGGCATGGAGGACGCGGACTGACGGAGAAGACAAGGGCGCGATGGGGGGCGCGTCCGTCGCAGCTCGTCGAAGCCCAGCTTGTCTATCCTGCGAGGGCCGACGCTGCCCAATGACGGTGACGCTCCCAGGAGACCGGGCTCGATGCCACCAGCAGAATGCGGCTGCCGCTCGGACTATCGGCACTGGCTTCTTGCTGCCTCCAGGAGGGGATCCAACCATTGCCGGCGGCGCCCAAAGGGGGTGGCGCAAGGGAGGTGGGCTTTCAAGCCAGCGGGGTTCCTAACATTACAGGGGTCGTCTTGGAAGCCCGCCCTGCTTCTCAGAGGGCTTCTTGGACGCTGTGGGGCCCTTCTGAGAAAGGCCCCCCGCCTTCTCAGAAGCCGCCCCGCCCTCTTGGAGAGCGCCCCTGGCGCCACCCCCGTGTGGGCGCCCCCAACATTGATACAAGCGGCTACGGATGCCGTTTGGGATTCCTGGACAGTCAGAGAGAACCTGGCACCATGTTCCACCACCGCTCTCGTGGATCTGAGAAAACCTGAGCGCATCGTCCCTCCTACCTCCTACTCCCTCTCATCCCCCTGCTGATCCCTTCCACCCTCCGCCCTCCGCCCGTCCTCCTCCTCTTCCTCCTGCTCCTCGTCCTCGTCCTCGTCCTCGTGCTCGTCCTCATCCTCGTCCTCCTCCTCCTCCTCCTCCTCCTCCTCCTCCTCCTCCTCCTCCTCCATCCCCCTCCCCCTCTCCCTCCTGCGCCTCCTCCTGTTATTCCTTCTCCTCCTCTTCCTGCTCATCTTGCTCCTCCTGCTCCTCCTCCTCCTTGCCCTCCTCCCTCGTCCTCGTCCCTCCTCCTCCTCCACCTCCTCCTCCTCCTCCCTCCTGGTCCTCCCTCCGCCTGGTCCTCCTCCTCCTTGTCCTCCTCCTCCTGGTCCTCGTCCTCGTCCTCCTCCTCCTCCTCCTCATCATCCTTCTCCTTTTTCCTCCTCCTCCTCCTCCTCCTCCTCCGCCTCCCGATCCCACTCCCCCCCCCGTGCTCGCCCTCCCCCTCTATCCTCGTCCTCCCCCTCCATCCTTTCTCCCCTCCTCGGCCTCCTCGGCCTCCTCGTCCTCCTCGTCCTCCTCGTCCTCGTCCTCGTCCTCATCCTCGTCCTCGTCCTCCTCCTCCTCCTCGTCCCCCTCCTCCTCCCACCCCCATAGATTCCCTCCTCCGCCACCCCCTCGCCCTCCTCATCATGCCCTTCGTGCCCTTCGTCCTCCCCCATCCTCCTCCGCCGCCTCCCCTTATTGTGCGTGCCCCGATATTACCTCGAGCCTGGTTTCCTGGAGAGTCAATGTGCCAGCAGAACTGGTCCTCGGGTCCTTGCGTCGTCGTACACCATCCCGCTGCCGAGAACGCCCACGGTCAGACTGCGCGCGGCGGGCGGGAAAAGAGAGAAGGGGCAAGGAGGAACGGAAGCTTCTGGGGGTCCAGGATGCCAATCATCAGCTGCATCATCGTTACGGTCGTCGTCGTCCTCCTCCTCGCCATTCACCTCCTCCTCCTCCTCCTCCTCCTCCTCCTCGCCACCACCACCACCAACAACACCACCAGCATCATCATCATCACCACCACAACCCCACCACCACCACCGAGGCCACCACCACCATCATCATCCTCATCATCATTTACATCATCAGCATCATCATCATCATCATCCGAAACAGCAGCATCAGCATGATCATCCTCATCATCATTTACATCATCAGCATCATTAACATACTACTAATCATCAACATCACCAGCATCATCAGCATCACAATCATCATCAGCAGCATCATCATCATCAGCAGCAATAACATGATCGTCATCATCATCATCGTCACCATCATCATCGTCGTCATGATCAGCATCAACATCACCGTCGTCATCACCATCCCCATCATCATCAGCAGCAACAACATCATCCTCATCATCAGAATCATCAGCATCGTCATCACCGTGATCATCACCGTCATCACCATTATTATCATCATCATCATCATCACCACCATCATCAACGTCATCAGTATCATCCTCATCATCATCACCATCATGACCATCAGCAGCATCATAATAACCACCATCATCAGCATCATCAGCATCGTCGTCCCCATGATCATCATCATCCTCATCATCATCAGCACCATCAGCTTCCTCATCATCATCAGCATTGCCATCACCATCATCATCACCATCATTTACATGCCCATGACCAACACTAACATCATCACCATCATCAACATCATCCGCATCACCACCATTCCATCATCATCATCATCATCATCATCATCATCATCATCATCATCATCATCATCGACAGCAGCAGCAGCAGCGGCCTCAACATCAGCAACATTGTCATCATCATCAGCATCACCATCACCACCACCAGCATACTCAGCATCATAACCATCATCATCATCATCATCATCATCAGCATCATCATCAACATTGCAACCATCGCAACCATCATCGTCATCATCATGACCGTCATCCTTCCCATCATCCTCATCATCGTCACCATCAACAACATCATCATTATCATCATCGTCGTCGAAACCGCAATCGTCATCGTCATCATCATCACCATCATCAACAACATCATCATCAATCAACAATGCTCATCGTCATCACCATCATCAACGTCATCATTATCATCAGTATCATCATCACCTCCATCATCATCACCACCAGCATCATCAGCATCATCATCACCGTCATCATCCCAATCCTTATCAACATCCTCATGTCCAACACAACTATAGTCGGTATCAGCATCGATATAATCATCATCACCATCAGCATCATCATCAACTTATAATCATCGGTCCCATCATCATCCTCATCCTCGCCCCAACCGTTTACACCGCCATCATCCTCATCATCATCATCATCATCATCATCATCATCATCATCACTACCGTCACCATCATCATCATCATCACCAACATCATCACCATCATCATCATCATCACCATCACCATCATCGTGATCATCATCATCATCATCATCAGTTATCATCATCATCCTAATCAGCATCATCGTAATCATCATCATCATCATCGTCATCAGCGTCATCATCACCATAAACATCATCACCTAAATCATCAGCAGCATCATCAGCAGCATCAGCATCAACATCATCATCAGCGGCATCATCATCAGCATCATCATCATAATCAGCAGCAGCATCAACATCATCATCACCATCATCAGCATCAGCAGCAGCACCAGCATCAGCATACTCGTCATCATCATCGTCATCATCATCATAATCATCATCATCAACATCATCATCATCACCATCATCACCATCATCATCATCACCAGCATCATCATCAACATCATCATCATCACCACCACCAGCATCATCATCATCATCATCATCATCATCATCATCATCATCACCATCATCACCATCATTATCACCATCGTTGACATTTATCGCCGTCATCCGTATTGTCGTCGTCTTCCTCCCTTCCCCTTCCGCTCCTCCTCCTCGCGCCCGTGCGCGCCCGCGCGCGCCTCGTGAAGCTGAACCCGGCGGTCGTCTCCTGTGGCGGTCGGCCACCCGGCCGCCGGCTCCGCCGCTCCGCTCTCCTCCTGCCGCTCCCTGCTCCAGTCGATGGCTGGAACGTCACTCCGTGGGGCGTCCAAAACGCCATCACAGGCCTCCTGCAAGTCCGAGGAGCCGAGGACGAGGCGGCCCTCGCAGGAGGTACCCAGCCCGTGTTGAGGCACGTGGCGGGAGGAGGAGGAGGAGGAGGAGGAGAAGGAGGAGGACGAGGACGAGGAGGAGGAGAAGGAGGAGGAGGAGCAGGAGGAGGACGAGGAGGGGCAGGAGGAGGTGAAGAAATGGAAGAGGAGGAGCAGGAGGAGGAGGAGCAGCAGGAGGAGGAGGAGGAGGAGGAGGAGGAGGAGGTGCAGCAGCAGCAGGAGGCAGGAGGA